TATACAATAGTACTAATTTTATAATTTATTAGTTTCGTAAACATGTACATGTATTTAAAACTCAATAATAATAATACTCGATTTTTATTTAAAATTATGATTTTAATGTTATCGTCCGAGTTTGATTTCAGTAGAGATGATAACTATAGACAAAAAATTATAATTTTGCAGCAATAAATAAGATATTATAGCATTATAAATATGCATATATACGTATTTATAGAACATTTATATAATGAAAACTCATTAATTTAATGATAAATTATCCAAATATTTATGTTAATAATCGCAAGTTTATATCAATTGTTGATAATGTCAGTGTTCTTCAATTACCTCCAGGCCCTCGGAGCCCTTTTTAAATGGATGAAAATTTGCCCTTTGAGTTGACGATCTTTAATAGTAGGTACCTCATCGGTGATTCTACATTCATATTTAACACATTAAAATCTTTGAACGATATAAAAAAGAGAATTTAATAAAATTTGTGGGCTATTGCTTGGAACCGAAAAATGACTGTCATATTCAAAACTAATTTTTTAGTGCAATTTTGATTCACACGTGACACGATTATTCAACATATAAGTAAGATAAAAAAGAAAAATGCTATTAAATTAAGTGGTGCACTTCGGAATAATAACAACGGAATAATATTAACAAAATTGTCATTTTTCATTATTTTTAATATATCTTGAAAACAATGTAAAGTACTAAAAGATTTTAACAATACATTTTTATAGGAGAATAAATTTCCTATCGATTAGGTATACAGAAAAATTTTTATCATAAATCCAAAATAGAAGAAGAAAACGGAAGAATAAAATAGTAAAAATTTGCAAAAATTTTCAATTTTACTTTTTTTCTATCAGTCCAACGTTGCGTTAACGATATCTTGGTCACCATTAATAAAAAAAAAAACTCTTGTTTAAGCTGTCATTTTTTTCGTTGCAATGTTTGTGCTTTTTTCTCTTATAACAAAAGCATTTGGACTGATAGAAAAAAATGTTATATGCTGAAAAATAAGAATTGAAAATTTTCGTAAATTTCTACTACTTTTTTCTTCTGTTTCTTCTCCTATTTTATATCGAAAAAAATCTTTCTTTATACTTAATTGACAGAAAATTTAATTTTCTACAAAAAAAGAGCTATTGAAGTTTTTTCTTATTTTGCACCGTTTTCGAGATATATTAAAAATAATGAAACATACACTTTTTGTTAATATCTGAAACGCACCATTTAATTTAATAGCATTTTTCTTTTTTTAATGCATTTTTTCTTATTTATATGTCGTATGAATCAGTAAGATTGCACTAAAGAATTAATTTTTTTTTAAACCCCCCATGCAATAGCCTATTTGCTATCTACATACTTTCTCTATATTGTAAGATTTGCACAATGGGTGATTATAGTGTTTTCTAAAATTTCGCAGAAAACATCAGTGAAGGGTATTCGCAATTCCATTCGCCTACGTTCCGCAGGCATTTATGTCTCCGTCGATGTCTCGCGTGTAATTAAAGATATCACTGATAAAAGAGTTAACAAATCCTGAGGAATTGACCTCTACATACCGTTGTCTTCGTTACACCTACGCACGTATGTATTGTAAGACTAACACAGTGAGACTTTATGACGAAACAAATATCATTATTACCAACGTGTTTTGAAAATACAAACATGTGCACGATTTTTCTTCTCTCATTCTAATTTAAGTACCACTTGTCAAACTGAATAATGTAGCGCTGCAACTTATTCTAGTCGCCGTATTCATCATGTCTTTGTTTAACCCAGTTTGTTGCTCAGTCGCACCTTTATGTAATCTTTTCGTCGTTAATAATATTTTTTTATGCACTTGGCGTATTTTTTTCTTTTTAAAAAAAATTTTTTTGGGTAGGTATATTTTATAGAAAACCGGTAATAAATTCAAAATAACCATTGGCGATGCTACAAGTTGCTGTAGCAGATAAAACAACAGCAAAAAAAAGAAAAGAGACAATTTGCATTTGGGCTTTGAACACTATAATCTAATGAGCTGCCAATAGCGGTTTTGGATTTTCAAATTCCTTCAAATAAAATTCTTACATGACATTTAAAATAACGTTTAAAAAATCTGAATCAAAAACCCGACCAAAAATCGGGAAAAAGTTTTCGATCTGATTACGATTCTGGTCCATTAGCCTGCATAATATTTCAATTCGTTTTTCGATTTCGGTTTCAGTCCTCGATTGCAGTCCTTTAACAAGATCTGAAATCTTCCATTTCAATGATTTGTAAATTTTTTTTAAATTTAATATACAAGAATTTTATTATACTATTACAATTTATTATATTCATTGTATTATCTTTTTTTGTGTATTACGATAGGTAATTATACATTTATAACCGAAAAAGATCGAAATCCAAAATGATTACTATAAAAATATTGGAACCGAAACCGGTAGCAATATATTTATTGTTTAATTAAAGATATTTTTTATCAACAATTATTCTTTAATTATGAACATTTTTAGTTATTGAATTATTAGACTAATATCGATTAATGATACTATATTTATTATATGTAATGATACTATATTTACTATATTTACTATATTATTACATGTTACGCTCGTGAAGCGCATTACCGGTAAAATCGAGATAACTCGCAAGATAAAAATCTTAATAGACGATTTTCCACCTTTGCTTACCATCATGAGATGGATGTCACATAAAAAACAGGATATTATCAATCTTTGCGATCTTCGTTATTTTCTACGCAATGGTATAATAACGATACCAGTAAGCGCAAAAACTATTGCCATTTTATTAATAAACGATGCACGCCGTAATATTCGTGAGATTTCCTAGGAAATATTTTCTTTGTTGATTGAAATAGTATTGCCATATGATAGAGGATTTACGTATTAAGAGAATTTTATTACGTCGCGTTTGAAAATTACATCTGTATCGACGTTAATCAACGCTAATTGCGCTTCTCACGGGAGGATAATAAACAGTGGCTGTTGTATAAACAATACTATTGCAATTAATCACGCTATTATTGTTGCCATTAAAATGACGCTTTTGTTATCAAAGATCTATTACAGGATGTTTTTAAAATAGTTTCTTGCCAAACATTATATATTATATGTATATTTATATTCAATTTTTGAAATATTTTTATACATACGAAACTCTATTCAAGCCTAGATAAGTTATACACTAAGCACAAATTAATGTGCAGCTTTCCTGATGCGATTCCTATAATTCATAATAGCTCGCAACAACGTAACAATAGATCTATAAAACATATCATAATAATTCATCGAATGCAGTGCAATACTATAGCCTTGATATTAAATGTGGGCGATAATGATTTTTGTTATCATTCTCTCGATAATATTAATATTTATCGTTCACGCCTACGTCTTTTTCTTCGTCTTTTTTTTCAGTCTACCGTCGTATTTTTTTTCCTGATTCCAAAACAGTCGTATTGCGATTCATGTAACGTATTGCTTGTAACATATTTCCTTGAAAGACGCTAACTTTCCGAGAGAAATCGCGAAAAAACATCTTTAAAGTTTAGATCACGTAGATAAATATTTATCATATTTTTTTATTCGAGTATTCTCAGCTATTTCTATTTGCTCCACTTTCATAAGTAGAAACTGTGTCATTCTGCGTCGTCGAAATTGTTAAACCAGTTTAATCACGTAATGGTATAATCGTGATTATACAATTACGTAAAAATAAATGCCAAGGTCTCCTAACCGGAAATATCTGGCGCGCATATATACATAGAAGAAAACATTGTAAAATATCTTGTCGTGTCCTTCCTACAGAATCTGCGGAATTTACGTGACCTAGAGAGCTATTTTATAAATCGAAAGTAGCGTATGCAAAGAATGCGACTTTAATCAACTAATCGTACACGGAATTAAATTACAATCAATCTTCATAAATCCCTTTCCTCCTGTTGGTTTTTGTGATATTATGTTTGTATTAGGTCGGGGAAAAAGTTTCTTCGTATTTAAAAAAAATTTTTTGTAAAAGTTTTTCATTTGTTGCAAAATTTTCGTTACAATTATATTATTCGTTAGAGCAAAGTTTTAAGAATCTGTTTTTTAAATTGCGGTGAGATGATTTTTATCGGAGTTACGAGCAATCAAAGTTAGAATGCTCCTTTACTTAATTCGCGAATAACTCAGTAATAAAAAATCATAGGAATATTTTTAAAAAATGATTTTGTAGGAAAAGCTTCGAGCTTTCACGATAGGTAGTTGAAAATTTTTGTAAATTTTTTTTTGGACACGTGAGAGACCCTCAAAGTGAAAAGAAAAATTTTCATCTTTTTCAACTCACAGTTTTTTTGATGTAAAAATTATCAAAGAACTCACAGAAACTGAAAAAATATAGTAATCTTTCGAAAGTAGAGATTTAAAGCTTTAAAACTCTCTTTTTAAATTGAAATTTCATTTATTTTTGACGAAGATATTATATATACAATTTTGAATTAAAAAATACGAAGAAATTTTTTCCCCGACCCAATATATTAAATTATTATATTTGAATAAAATTCAAGATGGAAATAGTCATGATTGTCTGGAAAAATAATACAATACATCTAATTTTTTTTATCATACTAATTTATTTCTATTATAACGGAAAGAACAGTTTTGGTGACGTATACCTAAAGATTTAGCTAAATACAGACTTCCAAAATAATTTTGTTAAACTATCAAAATAATTAGAGCAGAACGTTTTAAAATGTTTTCAAATCTTTTTATTCATCATATTTGAAATTTTTACATAATTATTTTAAGTATAACTATTTTATAGTCCAATAAAATTATTTTCAAATCTATATCTAATTAAAATGTTAGATATTTCAACAAAATTGTTCTTTGCGTAAATTAATAAATAAAAGTTGAACAAGTGCATCATAAAAATAACATCTTTGATTTTATTATTCTACGCAACAAAATTTTAACCAATTTATTGGGTCGACAAATGAATACGCCGAAAAATTTTTGAAGAATATTTGTATTTATATATTAACAAAACACTTTGTGTCTATGATTCGCGTGGCACAAAAGATAAGCATTTTGTCCGAAGATGTTACTAAATGTCACTGATTATTTATTGCTGGTTCTCGGGCTGTGGGTGAGCTAAAACATATGCGATGGCTTTTTGGATCTGCTCGGGTACTTGTGGAGCGATCGGCAAGTGGGTACCCTGCGGGTGGAAACCGTTCTCGTCGGCCGTGTACTGGAGGGCAATGGGGGTACCGTCAGGAGCGGTATACTGAAATTGACCTTGGGCGACGACCGCAGGATCGCCCTTAGGTCCAACGGGTTGTGGCGAGCCCTGCTCAGAAACGGCGATTCCGTTCTCGGTTTCATAGGCGTAATTGTAAGATCCTTCCGGCGAGATATCCTGCGCTTGCTTCAGAATCGCGGCTACCGATTGTACAGGCGAGTGCGGGTACTGCTGTTGTGCCAAAGCGATGGCGACCAGAGCCAGAGTCACAATCTAAAATAACAATTAAAATGAGATATAGACAATAATGTAATAGGACAAGCGATGGAAATAATTTTTTTATCATTTCCTACGCGGAAAGAATGATTTTATTTAATTTAAAAAATTGAGCTAAATACAGATCTGAAAATAATTATGTTGGACTATCTAAATAATTATATTGAATTATCAAACTCATTGATAGATCAAAACTTTTTATAATATTATCATGCTTGTTTGTCCTACATAATTATCTTTATGGTTCAACATAATTATTTTTACATCTATATCTAGCCTAATTTTTACATAGTAATTCTTACATAGCAAAATATTTCCGATATTTCCACATATAAAGATATAAGCTTGATTGCGTGATTATAAACTTACTTTGAATTATTAACAAATAATTATAGAGGATTTTTATCGATATTTCAAAATATTGAATCTACTGAATAAAATAAGAAATATAAAAAAAAAACTGAAAAAGAATAAACAAAATATTAAAAAAAAAATGAACAAAGAAACTGATATATGTTGTATAAAGATTTATAACATCATTATCATGACTAGGTTATATTATTAATTGACAAACACGCAAAATGTGCCAATTAAATAACATATATTTCTATTGTTTAAGAGTTATATACGTCGATTATGTAAATTCATTGTTATCGATCAGAAAATATTAGGCAAAAGATTGCTACTTTCTCGCAATACTGCGCGCTGCAAAAAAAGATTACAGGATTCGTAAATCCATGAAAAGAAGTGAATATCAAAGTATTAATTAAATAATGATATCTGTATGTAAGCGGGTTAAGTTCCCGCTTTATTGTAATTTATTGTAATTGATCTGTTATCGTAATTAACTTTCTTTTCGCGATTAATTAGGCATTAATTAGATCAGAATCGTAACAAGCTGTTTTCGCAAAAATTAGAGAAGATCTCAACGAACGGAAAATTCTCTCCGAGAATTAGTCCAAGTTAAAGGCTGGCATTGATAAATCTAAGAATACTGAAAATTTAAAAGTGTCTTCTTATTCTATATATTAAAATATATACTAACAATTAATCAAATTAAGTTGGTTAAAGATTTTGTAAAAATTTTAAAGATTTAAATTGGAAAATGCAGAATCAATTAGAATTTAATTAATAGTAGTAATATTAAATATTTTGACGAGATATTAATTTTACGGATTAACAATTTATTTATAAATCTCAGAATTTAAGATAAAGTAAAGAAAAATATAGAACTCACGAGGAATTTCATTTTATCGGATGGCTCGAATCTGTGGATCCAATGGAGGAACGTGATGAGATTTCGAGTGTGATCGCAATGAGATCCGAATGCGTTTTTATACGAAACCGTAGATCCCCACTTTCCCTGATTGTAAGGTAAAGAAACCCAAAAACGAGAAAAAGCCAGGGTTCTATAGCCATGGGGACAAGAAAGGACAAAGAAAAAGAGGGAAAAAACAAGAGAGAAGATGCCGGCTAGAATAGAATCTTCTGCTAAAAGTAAGTTCAAGTCGATTTGACCTTTCCGCGCGATGCCTAAATCGATTGGTTGCACAATAATCGAGAAACCTGTTGACATTGTGTTACTTGCCTGCTCGTCGTCTTCAAGAATTCAATATTCATGTGGCGTAGTGCATAATGTGAGCAAAATTCGATAATGATAATATCTCCAGTATGCATTGCAATTTACAAAGTATTGCCTATGACCGCTTTACCGTGATTTGAAAATTTTGATACTTTCTCAAAATTTTTAAATAAATTGTAAACATGCGTTAAAGAAGAATTTTGTACCTTTAATAATTTCAACAAATTACAATCGAATATTTATTAATTTGCTTAGCCTTCAAATCTAAGATTATCTCTATGGAAATGTCAACTATTATTTTGCTGTACTCAATTATTCATGGGATTTGAAAGATTCTAGGAAGATATATTATTCTCTACAAAAAGATCTTATTGATGCAAAAGAAACGTACATCGTATGATTGTGTACATTTTCATTAGATATTATATCTAGATATTTTCTTAGACATATTACTTAGACAAGTAGAAAGAAAATGCGCTCTATTAGTCCACGTACGATTTATTGATTGCTTGCAAACCGGTTGCTCGATCACTTACATTCTATGCTTTACAAATCTTTTTTATAAAAATTTTAACCAATAACAAATTATATATTACGATAATTAATAAAAAATATATATTAATATAATATATAAAATAATTACAATACATCAAAATAATTACAATACATCCAACAAAGTTACCTGAATGTTTTACACGTTTGATAAACATTATGTAAAAATATGTGGATGAAGTATACAAAATTTAATATTACGTCAATTCGAAATAAATGCATTCAAAAAATCGATTTAAAAGTAATCAAGCGACGCAATAGCGTCGCGACGCCAAGTGCATAAAAATACAAAAAACGATTCATTTGACCGCTTGAAGTGTAAACGTTATTGTACGCCAAGTTTCACTATAATCTAATTGACCATTTTAATCACTTTTAATCTATCTTATGTGTCTTGCGTTATAAAATACAATACTTAGTTAATTGCATTTATTTCATATACATTTTTTATTAAAAAGAATATTCGATCGAATATAACATTCGATACTTTTTTTTATACATTTGGCGTATATTTTTTTCTTTCTTAAAAAGATTTTTTTTTAGGGTTAAATAATCTGGACATTAAAAAATAATTGAGTAATTATCTTCTTGTATTGTAACTTATAAAGTGGCAAATTGCAAAATTCGATGGCATAATGGCAGGAAAATTAATGTCTGTCATAAAATCATAATCAAGATTAATTGCAGAAGCAGACACATGAACATAAACTAAGAGATTTTAATACTTGATCGTGCTTTTCCTCCCTGTTTGTCTCTTTATTGGTACATAACGGTGACTCTTCTCATTCGCCCATTTATATGATTTTGAGCAAAATCCACGCTGTTTTTTTTTATATTAGAGCTACTTAAAATCCTTCGTCACTTGATAATTCATAGGGAGATAAACTTAAGGTGCATCCGTACGAGCCAGCATTGCGACATCGACTTTGCCTAAGAATGAATGTTTACCTATACACCGAAGGTCACAACCATCTTTTTTTCTAACATGAAAAGAACAGATGAATTTTTCACAGTGCTCAAGAACAATTATACTACGATTGCAACTACCAGTTAGAACGAGCGTCAGAGGAATGAATGCGCGAGACGCGTCGCTGGAGCAGAAACGAAGATAAAATCTAGTTAGATTCCTTGTACTTCCTTCTGTGATATTACGTGCGCGTTATGTCTTCTACGGTGGCCATTATTCAAGCAAATTATTTCTGAATAATAGTGTTCACTACTCTTGCGTTAGAATTTTCTGAATGAAACATGGATCTATTCCTGATTTGTGAATGAATGCAATACAATTCACTACCTGACACATAAATCCTTAGTACAATTGCTGTGGCATCAAATCTTATCATATAATCATAATAATGATTCGTTGGTATTGTCTAGATTGATTTAGTACAATTTTTACATTCTTATTTGATCCTTTTTTCTTTTTTTCTCTTTTATCGGATCTATTTATAATGGATATGCACTTGAGATAAATTAATATTACTTTAAATTGACAATGTTTTACTTTATAAACAATCATAGTCTATACATCTGATGCTCCGTGAGAAAATATGTATGATTAATTTTCTCTTTGAGCTAGACAACGTAATGTGAACAAACGTCTCTATCATAGATACTACCAGACGGCTTAATTACATGCGATGACAGATTACTATAATGTCAGAATTTCTTGAATCAATCTACCTTGTTGAACTACCATAGTTACTTTCCACCGATTCTCAGATAATTCTTACTTGTGATGTCATAACTCAGTTGAATGCGCGTTCCTTTTACATTCTGACAAGTGAGATTTAATTGAGTTTTTCTCTATACTCAATCTGCACAAGATCGAGTGTGCTTTAGTGAGTCTCGTAAATTCACTTTAAAAGTGAAATTCGAACCTGTGTTGTCATGTAATAACTTTTTTTTTACCAAACTAAATAATGACGTCATTAATCAGAGTATGAAATACTCAACTCACTTCACACTCAGTCTGAATTCACTTGTGTGCAAATGGAAAACAACTCATGTATATGGCTTACAGTTTATTTTCAAGGGAGCAAAGTGATGCTAATCAATGTTCATAAGCGCATTTAACCACTCAGCAACAAATCAATATTAGCAATACTATTAGAATCAATATCTATTGCTAGAAGTATTTCATATATGGTCTATATCGTTATATAACTTATATAATCGTTATATAGAATGATGTTTCCGAATATATTATATTCTTCCTTCAATTTTAAAATATACAATTCTTTCGTGCAAACTTTACCATGTTAATTGCAATTATTGCAGTTAAAATTTTTAATAAATTAATCACCTATTTGCAAATTATAAATTTACAATGTTTATTGGTAGCAATTCATTAATTTCGCTTTATTTTTTACACATATGAAGTTTAGGTATTAAATAGTATTATTGTTGTTCATAACTGTCAAGACGTTAAGTATTTATAAATATGTTAAATAAATGATAATATTATTATCGTCATTGCGTGATTCTCAATGCCAAAATTAATCCCACAGAGAATTATTCAGACAAAAGCAACATTATCTTCTTCTTGCTATTATAAAAACAGATGACGTTAGCATTACTTGTATGGAACAAAAAAAATTATTTTGTTCTCATTAATCATATGCTTGCTTCTTTTAATATTTCTGCTTTACTATTTATTATCACGAATGTTTGATATCGAATTCAGTATCCTGTTTAAAAAAATGCATCTAATTATAATTGTTACGTCCGGAAAACTCCACAATTCTTTTCTTTCACGAAAATCTTACCGTTGTATGAAGAATCTATGGGAATTAATTTCAAGGGAATTTTTTTCCTGTTTAAATAGGAGTATGAAATGACAAACAAAAAAAAATTAATAATAGAAGACGACACGATGATACCTAATGCATTAATTGAATATCGCAGGTGAGATCAGCGATGGAGCATTTTTGAAGCTAATATAGAATTCAGTCTTTTGATATCTAGCTAAGAATAATTAATTCCTATAAGAAATCTTCATTATCTTTATTGCTTTGGGTTTTAAAAATACTAGTAATATCCGAATAAGGTACCTCCACTTCCAACAAATCACCTTCAGAGGCGGTCCTCTTGACTAACACGTCCGCATTTTCGTTTTCTTGAATATTAAGATGAGCTTCAATTCGGAATCCAAATCAATTCGATTTTTTTCATTACACTCGGCAATAACATGATTGATTTTTTGAATTACATGAGATTGATGTTTAAGTTTGCGAATGTTTTGAAGAGAGCTGAGAATACTCTTGGAATCCGAAAAGATTGTAAAGTTGACATGCTCAGAGATGCTACGTTTTAGGACTGTCAGTAAGGTGATAGCCTCGGCTATATATAAGTAACATTTAATAATTTATAATTAAATGTGACAAACTCGTTTAAGCTCCAACTAGCCATGCCAACAATATCCACTCGATCCGCCATCAATATCAATCCTTGACCTATCAGTGAATATTACCGTGCGATCTGATAATCTGTCTTGAGAACGGCGAGGATGATCGTAAAACGGAAGCGACATCTCGATTAGCTAAATCAAACTAATTCAGATGACCATTTTTGAACTTATAATCTATCCATATATAAATTCATTCTCCTGTAGATCTATTCTTAATGATAGTTCAATATCATTATACTGTCGTTGCGCAACTTCACCTAAAAAAATAAAATACCTGCGCAACGACATCCATATGCCAAAATTATTGTTATAGAATTACAGAATTATAGGCCTACTGATCTCTATTCTTCATAATCGCTTGCAATGATCAGTGTCGGTATGAGTAATTTCTAGAATAGTCTTGATCACCGATGAGATATTATTAAAGATCGACATTCTTACGGGAGTGTTTGTTGAAATTTAATTAAGAGTAATAAACCGATAATATATATATATATTACTAATTTCATGATTTATTAGTTTCGTAGACATATACATGTATTTAAAATTCAATAATACTCGATTTTTACTTAAAATTATGATTTTAATGTTATCCTCCGAGTTTGATTATCAATAGAGATGATAACTGTAGAGAAAAAAAATTATAATTTCGTAACAATATCTAAGATATTGTAGCATTAAGTATACATACCTATTTATAGAACAGTTATATAACAAAAAATCATTTAATGATATCTTATGTACATATTTATGTTA